CAGGGGGTCGGACTAGATGATCTGCCCAGGTCCCTTCCGACCCTAGAAACTATGAAACCCTCAGGCCCCCACTGCCACGGGCAAATCAAAATAACCCAGAATCAACCACCGCTACAAATCAAGAGATTGCCAAACAGCACAGTTTTAATTCATTAACAACCCAAGCGGAGCTCCATCTTATGCAGGGATGAAAGGCAGGAAGCTCTGTGGAGTTCGTATGACACCTTGCCCTTCAGATACGCCCTAGCTAGGCGGTGTGTAGATACACTGCCATGGGTGCAACAGAAAACACTATGACAAATTAAAGAAGGGAGATTTCATCAGCTTCAAAAGCCACAAAAGCAGGGCTTTTTTTTTTTAACCAACACATTTAGAATAGACGTCAATCCCTGCTGGTCGGAGCGGAAAAGAAAAGTAACCAGTCTCCCAGTGTGAAATCACTTTAAAAAAAACAAAATCAGATAAAGCCTTTTTAAATCACATGCTCAGAGCGTCCCTGCTCTCTGCTGTTTGGCAAAGCTCATGGGCAGCCCCAACCATAGCCCCGCTCCGACAAACACTGATCCATAACATCAGCACTGGGATGGCGGGGCGTGGGGGAAACAACTGGAAACTGGTGCCAGGCTGATACACATCTAAAAGGCACCTGACGTGAAAAGCTTCGGACAGCACCAAGGTGTGCTGATGCAGCAAGTCTTGCTGGGGCCCAGCAAGTAAGGGGCAGGGGTGGGCAGGATCAGACCAGGGAAGTAACTAAAACATTTTGCAAAATGCTGCTGGTGTGCAGGAGGAGGTCTTACCTGCTCCAGGCACACAAAGACCCCAGCTGCTGCTGCTGCATCTGTCTGCTACTGCCCCAGCAAAGGCTCCATGGTTGGAGGGAGGGGGGACACCATCCTGGCATCTGCTTCAAGTTGGTGCCCAGACTGGTGCCCCACATGCCACCCCTAGTTACACTACTGGATCAGACTGAGGTGCATTAGGAGCCCTTTGACCTACAGCACTCCTGTTATGCCGGCCAAATTACAACTCTGCAGAGCCTCTAAGTGCAATGCCAGAGCGCACTTCAAGGAAAGGATTTACCTGGGCTGGCTGAAGGGGCTGCTGGTCAGAGCTCCAGCGGCAGAGCAAAGCGGTGCAAAACCCAGGACTGGGCTGCTCAGCTTTTACGGGGGTCCAGACCCGGGCTGTGTCCACTATGCCAAGCATGAACCCACCCTGCAGAGGAGGCAAAAACTTGTTCGGTGAGAGCACAGAAGTGAAAGCAAGGGTGAGTAGGATTCTTCTCCCCTGTAGTGTCCTGCAGAGCTCACACCCACCGAGCTCTGCTGCTTAGCTCTCCCCTGTGCCCCCAACGCAATTGATGCTGCTGAACTGGAGCCTGCAACACCTAGGCACCTTATTGTCAGCAGTAACAGCATGGCTGTCCCGAGCCCAGGCCATCAGCTTCCTCAGACTCTCATGGAACGGAAGTCAATGACTCAAGTGGCAAATTCAGATTGAAAAAGGGGTGGCGGGAGGAAAAATAATCCACCCGCACACATCAGCCCACACCTCCTGTTTGAGCACTTATGCAATCTTGATTACCAGAGCATCCAAGCGCCTTCCCATCCTTGTCTTCACAAGAGCCTGGCATTGCCCAAGGCTGGAAGCAGCAGAGGGGCAGGATGGAGTTGGCAAGCCACATTGCCTTCTCTTTATATACTTGACAGGGAAGATTTGATAACCTTGGTGCAAAGGCATCGAGAGCTGTTATAACAGCAGCCCTCCAGCCATGCACACGGGGGTACTCATCTCTGATAGCAGCAGATGATCTGTGCACTGTGCTGGTGAGCTGTAGCCACTACCAACACTTGAGAGAAGCCAATAATGTGCATTTTACAGCCAGCAGCCTCTGTCACCTTACCCAGACCCTTTCCCCTCCCAGAAGCCCTCCCTGTGCCCAGCTGAGAGGAGCTGCTTACTGGAAACAGCCTCAGCCAACAAAATCCATGCCTTGAGAGCTGGCAGAGGGAAGCAGGGCACTTTCCAGGGTCTGCAGCCTACCAGCTTGCAAGGAGCGCGCTGCCTCTTTCACGCAAGGAAGTGGCTGGAAGCCAAACATAGCAGAGGAAAAAGCTAGACGAGCATCTCCCTCTTCTGGCTCTTGCAAGTAGTGCCGGAGGCTGCTACTTCCCAGTAGCACCTTAACATCACATCCAGGTCCTGGGTGCAGGTGGGTGGGTCGGCTGGGAAACTACATCATGGCATTTAGAAAGATTTGGATGGCACAGAAGAGGCACAGCCGCGTGCCTGGCCAGGGAAGGAGGGATGGAGGAAGGGCCATTATGAGCCAGCCCCGCACTCTCCCCCTTTGCCATGCAATTAATTGCTTTGCCTAACAGTCTTTCATCTCCGTGCCAAATAGCCTGGTGAAGAGGGAGTGGAGGAGGAAGAAAAGAGAAGAGAGCCCAGCTGCCACGGATCTACTACGGGGGGGAAAAACCCTTGGGACCAATATTTGTTTATCCAGGACATATGCCAAGGGCAGACATGGCAGCCAAGCCTTGCTACCAGCTCTGCAAGGAGAGAAGAAGAGGCACCAAAATCTCTGTAGAAATACCCTCCCCCACCAGCACCGACTGAAGTCAATGGTTAAAATCCTCTGCTGTGCACAAGGCTAGAGCAAGGGTTTGGGCACCACATCAATCCCACTCTATGTCTCTAAGAGACTCCTGCCTGACCCCAACTTTTTCAAAGGCCCTGCAAAAAGCTCCCAGGACTGCCAATGGGCTCCGGATCAGACCCAGCAAGAATTTTCTCCCCACACCCAGGCTGCAGGTACTCAGTCCCCCTTCAAGGTGGGGGAAACCGCCTCCCCCCAACCCCAAAAGACCAGTAGGAACCAATCTGGATTGATAAGATTCCCATTCGACCACACAAGCAAGGAACAGGAAGACCAGGCGACGCATTAAGTGTCTTTAATCCGAAAGAGGGAAAAGCAGACCAGGAAGATTAGTATAAGCCAACAGACAAAAAAATTAAAAATCTGTCTTAAAAACAAATTAAAATTCCATACAGTGTCTAAAAGGTCTAGAAACTAAACATTTCCTTTAAAAAAAAAAAAAAAAAAAAAGTTGTTGGAACACGTTAAAATGCAGTGAAACAATGTGATAAAGAAAATAATTCATGGACTAAAGACCTCGAAAGAGCTGTTCTGCTTCTGGGAACAGAGGGTTTCAAACACCGAACACCACCGTGGGAGAGGCCAGGACAAAGCCAGGAGCTGCCTCTCCTCCTGCATCATGCAGGCAAGCAGCAGAACAGGAGTCCACCGAGCCGGGGGTTCCCCAGAAACCAGGTGCCCCTCGAATGGGGGAGTCAGTGCTAGAAAACCAGCTGCTGTTCCAACGACTCTGAAGCTCAGCTGGTCCTTCAGGTACGTGGCCACTTTCCCCCAGCCATGCCCGAGCCAGCTGGTTTGCTTGGTGGGACCTTCAGTAGCTTCTGCCCATATTAGCTTCTTGAGACGGGGAGCAAGGGGCAGCTGAAGAGCCAGAGGAAATACTGCAGCACTGTAAGGAACTGAAATCCACTGCCCAGGCATCTCACGAAAGAGGTGGAGGGAAGGATGCCCTGTCTGCACTTCGAATCCCGCTTCCCCGATGCGGGGAAAAGTCTTTCCCACATCCGAGTGGGGCAGGAATAGATGGGTCTGGCGGTGAGAGAAAAGGGCCCGGTCTCCCATAAGCTCTGTGGTCAGTGCTGGGGTCCCACAGAGGAAGGAGTGTCTGCATGGTCTGACTTCTGCTGCCAGCTTTGAAGAAGTGCCATGGTATGAAGCAGTCATGCTCAGCACATTGGGAGCCCCAAGGAAAGTCAGGGCACGGTGCCAGGAAAGGACAGCAGAGGGTCTCTCCCTCTACAAAACCAGCAACTTCTTGACTTCACAAGAGCTTGAAAACCCTGCAACAGGCTGAGCACTAAGAGCATGGGAGGCATCTGCATTAGGTGCTTCCGGTCTAATCCCAGGAAGGCTGAGGCTGCTGTGGGTGGGGTTCATCAGACACTTCATCCCTTCCCCCCACTCCCAAAAACCCTGAGACTAAAACTGAATCCCAGGCACGTGACAGACCCCAATGGACGGTCCAGACAGACCGCACGAGTGCACGCGTGCACTCCCGCATCTGCATACACATTACACGCACCCCATGGGTCTGCATACATGCAGCATGCATGCACAACAGTACTTGAGAACAACCATGTGTGCATGTGCTTAATGTCAAGGCTTCCAGTTCAGGAAGGATCTTTGCTACGTTAAAGGGCATCCAGCAATTATCCAGGCCTGCAGAGCAGCCCTGGACCCAGAGGCTTTCCCAGCCAAACCCAAACTCCAGGCCCCTGCAGATAAGAGTTAGAAGGAGAGCAGAAGGGACTAGGAAAAGCCCCCAACAGCACATCCCTACACCCCAACCGATCCCTACAACCCCAACCGATGGCTGGCTGAAACACCGGCACTGGCCAAAGAGTCAGCAGCCTTCATCTCTAGTGAACACTTTGCATAGGGAACACACTGTCTGGGTTTCAGCTCTACAGTAGTTTTAAAAAATATTTATATATTAGATACCCTAAAAAAGGTCACCACAGGAATCTCCATGTCTTTGGAAGGAAGGAGGCAAAGAATTTCACCCAGGAAAAAAAATCCAAATTACCGGCACCATTCAGCTAGGAGACAAAAAATAAACATGTGGGCATATCTTACAGGGGGCGTTTCCTTGCCTGCTCCAGAAAGGTCAGAAACACAGGTGGGCTGCTAAAAATAACTAGTCTGGTATAAATGTCTGAATTCCATGCGCTTCGATATAACAGTCTGTCTGTCTTTTTTTTTTTTTTTTTCCTCAAAAAATATATATATAGTTATTGCTTTGTCAATGCCCGGGCAGGGCTGGGCGGCACCCTCAGTGGGGGAGTGCTGTCGGCTCGACGGGGTTCGCTTTCTTTCGCCTCTTCATGAGCAAAGGGTTGGACGAGTCTTCGATTTTCTTGATCTTGATTTGTTCGTAGTCTACGCGCATGGTGGCCAAGGCACTCGTCATCTCCTCCTGGAGCAGAGAGGGAAACGTGGGAACGATTAGCAACAGTACACAACACCCGTATGTTCCAGTGCTCGTATCTGCCTGGCCGACGCAGTTGCAGACTAAAGCTGGAAGAAGCCATTAGGATCATGCGATCCAGGTCAGACCTTTGCCCAGCATCAGTCCTCTTCACGTGGAGATTAACTGGATCACACCTGGCTGGGGTTGTCCGACCCCAGGGCTCTTTCCTGCCCAAAGCAGGGGCTCGGACTTGATGATCTGCTACGGTCTCTTCCAACCCAAACTTCTATGAATCTATGAACTATAGCAACCAGCATTAACAAAAAGGCTTTGGCGGACGGAGAAGCCATTTGGCCCCCTTAGTCCAACTGCCTTTGCTGGAGTCAATTTATGTTTTATTTCTAGCTTGAGTTGCTCGTGCTTCCATTTCCAGCCACCCCTGTGGATGTATTGGCTCAAATGATTTTGCACGCTCGTGGTCTGAAAACGAGCACCCCCCCTCTTAAAACACCCACTGTATCACTTCCAACTCCCAAACTGACATCTGTTCATACCTGGGCTTCCTTATAGCCCATGGGAAGAGAGAGAAGCAGACAGCCTCTAAACCCATCCTTCATGCCACTGGCACGGCGGCCTCAGCAGAGGACTGAATAGGCCACAGAGACCAAATTATCTACTCACCTCTTCGAGGCAAATCTGAGGCCCTGCCAAAAAGCCTGAGGCAGTGACGACAGAGTCGTTACTAGACCAGTTGGACTCAACGCTGCAGTTGGGGGCAAAATGTGGAAACCGGTGTATTGCAACCAGCCACACGAGTGTACTTTCTAGAAATATTCCAGCCCCTTAAATATGTGGATTTCCCATTTATACATAGCTTGTGTTTGCAGCCCATTTCTCTTCCTTCCCAATCTACTTCCTCTCTCACATCCTGGATATATAATAATTTCTGTCAAGAAGCCTTCCTCACAGGCTCAAATGAACCCAGTAAAGGCCCCAGGGCTGCCTGTGGAGAAACACCTACAGACCTACGGCCAGTTACCTGGGTCCTGATCCAAAAGGCTTCTCCCCACCCAACCCCTTGCCAAAAGCAGCACAGAAGCCTGAGCGAGGCTGCGTACTCAGGGACCGGCTTCACAAACCAACAGCAGCAAGCACACCATCTGGAGCAGAGGGGTTTCGAGGGCAGAAAAATTTCAGGGAGCCTTTACCTTGACATCCTCCCACAAATCCTTCTCTTCTTTCAACACTCGACTAGTGTGCAGTGGCGTCTGAGGTACCTGCATGGATTGCTTTAGGCAGAAAGAGAGAGAAAGGGGGGTTAAGCCACCAGTCACATTTCCTACAGCCCTTGCCCTTCCAGTAGCCAGCACTTGCATCCAGAGTGCCAGGCACCTACCATGATCCAAGGATGGTTCATGAACTCCGTTATCGTCATGCGCTGGGTTGGGTCTGTCTTCAGCAGGTTCCGAATCAGCTGTTTAACTGGAGCAGGAAGAGAGAGCATTAAAAAGCATGCCTATCTATTTATTTATCTATCTAAATCTACACATATGGGCATCGCCTGGTGAAAGCCCCTGGTACTTTGTTGGCTGCAATGGGGCAGACGCCCAGGTTTAACTAGGCCTTATTCTACTCCTGGAGGCCTTGGATACAAATGCTGAGCTTTCCCAGGGGGTGTTACAGTGAAGGAAAAACAGCACAATGGTAAAGGGGCTGCCCTGGGACCTCAGAGACCTGGGTTCCCATCACTGCCCTGCCAGTGCCATCCTGCATGACCCTGAGCCAGTCAGCCTCCTGCATGAGACCCATGAAGGAAGCGGGCTCGTTGTGGGTTCTGCCAGGAGACTTATAACTTGCATTTCCTCCATCATCATTGTTACCAACGTGACCTGTTTGTGGGTACAGTGTCATCCAAATCCCCCACTTCCCTGCCCCAGGAAAGGGAAACCACATTGCCACTATCAAAACAACCAGCCCCATGGGATTTCAGTGCCGATGGTGCTTGTACAGCTTCCCTGAGTGAAGAGATATGCATGTTGCTTAACTAAAGCCATCCTCTCTGCTAGAGGGGGCACACAGCACTGCAGCTCTTACCTTCTTCCGATACTTCGGACCACTCAGGGTTGGGGAATTCATACTGGCCCATTCGGATCCGCTTCTTCATGCCTGGAGAAATGGCCAGACCGTGGTTGGAATAGAAAGGGGGATAACCACACAGCCTGAGCCAGAGAGAGAGAGAAAAGGAATATCATGAAATGATCTGCTAGAGAAACATCCTTCAGATGCTACACAGAGCACTGGAAACTCACTAAATCAAGTCCCCCCCCTGCTTCTTCTATATATCCAAGTCCATTCCAGATCATGTATCCAACAGCATCCTTGGATGGGTCCCCCAACCCCTCAGGGAGGGACAAGGATAAACAGGGATAGACTTACTCCTGGAATAGTTCCCCCACCCCAAGGGAAATAGAGAGGGAGGCTTTGCAAAGAGGCCAGTCTGAGCACTAGACAGACACTACAAAGTAAGGAACAGCCCCCCCGATTTGGCTTGGACTAGCAAGACAAGGCTGCGTTATTTAAAATATAGTGAGGTTCCTAGTGGAGCAAATGGATTCAGGGGAAGAGCATTGCCTGCTCCTCCAGCAAGGGCCCTGGCAAAGCCAAGTGGCCATCAACATTCAGAGGGTAGAAGCAACAGCTCCCCTGGGTTGGGAATGGCTTACTTACAAAATATACATGATGACACCAAGGGACCACATGTCACAGGACTTGTCATACTTCTCTGGGCCCAGCACCTCCGGGGCTGGGGAAAGAAAGGAAAAGGCAAAAAGTCACAAGATGGTCAGAAAAGTCCTGCAAAGGAGCAAAAGGGGCCAAACACATGCATCACCTCTGAAGAGTGCAGCTCCAATTTAGGCCAAAGTCATGAGCTTGACAGTCTACCTCAAAAAAGCAGTTTAGCTTAGGGGCTGGTGTGCCCAGAAGCAGCCCCATGCTTTCAGAAGTCAAACAGATGATCATTTCAACTATGTGCACAGCTACGCAGAGGTCCAGGACCAGAACAAGAGGTGCTGCGCATCAGGCCCACGGAGTCTCGACAGGGCTGTGGGTGGCCAGTGCAAGGAAGATTATGAAATGGCCACATGATTAACACCAAGCCAAGACATGCACCAGATAGACTGCAGAAAGACAAGATGCATGCTGCCTCTGGCCTGAGCCAGCCTACACCACCCACCATTTCAAGTGTCTTGGCTCTCACGGTCCTCAACGCTTGAGCAAGGATTGCAGAGGCCCAGATCTGTCTGCAGTAAAACCGGTCTTCTGCATGGCCCACCTGAGGGTACTGGATTTTAACCAGAGGGCAGGGCTGCAGCAGTTTAACAAGGGAGTTTACACACCATCGGTGTAAACCAACAGCGATAGCAGGAGATTCTGAGACCGTGCATTCCCCATTCCCTGGAAGAGAGCAAGGCTTATGCACATCCCAAAAGACTCACCCACATAATAAGGCGTGTAGCATGGAGTGGCCAGGGAGTTGTGCGTGGTGGTTTCTTTAGCAAAGCCAAAGTCGGTGAGCTTTAAGACAGTGTTGGGCCTTTTGGAGGTGTACAAGAGGTTTTCCGGCTGCAAAGACACAACAAAAAGCAGCAAACAGTCAGACAAGTCCTCCATAGCCTTACAACCCAGCACAGATGGGGGCAAGAGCAGAACGGGGCTTCTGTTTCATCGCAGAAGGTTTGCATGTGAACACACCACTGGGAGCCAACCAGGTTTAAGTGCAAGCTTCAGGGTCAGAGAGGGTTTCTCGCGACAACCCAGTCCTAAGTCCTACCCGAAGCTCGGTCCTTGGCATCCGACTGCCTGGTGCCGTTTCCAAGGTCAAGATATGGCGGGTAAAAGCTGAGTGGGTCAGGCATCAGGATGGTTCACATGTTCCCCTAGCACTTCAATCCCTCCCGTCCCCCTCCCACCTACCCACAAGCCCTTCAGGACCCAGCCAGGGTTGGCCCAGATCTTCTGGAACACTGAAAGAGACTTTCTGGCCATTTCTGTCAACCTCAAGGCTTTCCAGCAAGGGTCTGGAAGGGCTTTCTAGTTGTTGCAAACCAGCAACTGCCAGTCCAGATCTTCTGCTTGGTGAGCACCATGTCCAACATCAGATGACACAGAACACCTAAGCAAATGGGTGTGAACACCGGTAACATAGGTGCAGTTACGAACAGAGGAAAGAAATCTCAAAGCCCTTCCTGGACCCAGCCCTTGCCTCAGGGGTTTGGTACTATTCGAGTCAGCTTGCAGGGGTTTTCCCCACTACCACATTCAGTTTTTGGTCTCTGCTCTCCTGATCATCCCCCTCCCTCTCTCAAGAACAAGGCTGAAGCTGCATCCTTCAGGTATCAGCATGTATCTTCACCTTAGATCAGCTACGAGACAGCAGGATGTTGCATACTTGGGTACTTAAGCCCCAATGTCCTGGGGAAATTCCAATCCAAGCAATGCTGTTCTGTGCCTGCAAAATTCCCCCTGTGATTTCATTCAGAGGCAGGAGGCTTCTTCTCCTTCTGCCCCGAATTTGGGCGGCATCATCGGGCAGCCATGGAATATTTGCCGTGTTCCACGACAGAGGTGGCTGCATTTCAGAGCAGCTTTACCTACTGTGCCTGCTCCCCGGTTACCACTTAGCTGCCACTGCTCTTTGCGACTGAGGGATGCTCAAACCGTGAGACGGTACAGAAACAACTGCTCATCGGCTTGAGAAATTGAATGCTAGAAATCCCTCCGCTCTTGCTCTTTATTTTTATTTAGAAGAACTCATGGTTCTCCAAGGAAGGCCCCCTGCAAGACGCAGGGAATGGCAAAGGTCAAGGATTATCCCCTTTCCCCAGCATCAAACCAGCCATCGTTTCATGGTCACTGCTCTGAGCGCCTCCCGTTCTCTGCAGATGGCCTGCATTTAAGCCAGCCAGAGGAGAAGGGAGTGAACATGCACCTCTGCCGGGCTGTGCTTTACTATGGCTATTCCCAAACTTACACACAAGCATTTCACTTTTTGTTTTCTTTTTTAAAACGGCTTCTTGTGGCGCTTCCTCACTCCGACATGCTGCTTGCTGGTGGCGCACAGACACGGGTGCCCTTGCCAAAAATCTGTGATCCAAGCACTGTCCACCGTTGCATTAGCCCTATTCCTGACCCAAAATGCTGCAGTGCTGCCTTGATAAGCCTTCTACCCGAGTGAAGCCACCAGGATCCAATGCAGCACTGCTCCCCATCCCTGCCCCGCAATCGCCCTGCTCTTTAAAATGACAGATTTACCCGCAGCCTGCCAACTTTAGCGAGCCTCTTCGGCGCAAGCTAAGAGTCCTGACCTAGATTAGACAATGTAAGCAGAGGTCCCTCTGTTATGGGCAAAGACCTTGGAAATGGGCATTAACTACTAAAGTAAACGGTACCTTAACATCCCGGTGGGCGATGTTAATCGAGTGCAGGTACTGGATGGCCTCTCCAATGCTCTTCATTATTTCTGAAGCCTCTAGAGGAGTTACAGGAAATTGTAGAAGTATGTAACGTGACAGCTCGGCAGTACAACCCCCTCCCCTCTGCACCCACAAGCGATTCACAGAGCATCTGCGAAGGCAGGACCCAGATGTTCCCCTGAGAATCCAAAGCCAGAAAAGGTGGCTGTCCCCAAAGCCTGCCTTTCTGCAGCGAGTCCCTTACATAGCTCATGTGGCTCTAGGATAGGCCTGCTAAAAGCAGTACTAACAAGAGAAAGCTCCAGCCACTGGCTTCGGCCTTAAACCGACTGGCGGAGCCACATCCTCTGCATCTAACAGAGGTTACAGCCTGCCTTGTTAGGGACGGTGATAGAGAAAGGGCCTTGGAGAGCCCAGAGCTCAGCACTCACTGCAAACTGGCAAAACTCCCATTTTTCAATGAAAATACTTTTACAAGTCACAGAAACCCATCGAGCTCCTAGGCGAGCTGCGCGGGAGGCACCCAGGGAGGAACAGCACTTTTGGGAGTGTGCCCTCTTCCAAGGCAGATGCAAACATGCTCAGTTCAGACACTGGAAGGGGCAAGGCTGGCTAGGGGCCATGTCTGCCATCCAGCCCCATACCCACAAACTTGCAGGTTCCCAGGACTTCCCACTCCTTGCCCCAAGCAGCCAGCAGTCAAGGGAATGGGCCTAACTGAGAGACGCCTTTGAAAGGCAGGACGTGTAGCATAATTTGAGGGTGATAAAATGACGTGCATCTTCTCCCTACCCCGCTCAGTGAAGGCCTGGTCTCCCCGATCTTGAATGCGACTGAAGAGCTCCCCGCCATCCAAGCTGAAACAGAGACGAGAGGAATTGGAGACAGAGATGCTACCGACCGTGCCCCGAGTAGCTTTCTCCAGCTGCCCTCCACAGCAGCATGGGCTGTTCTGCATCCAGCCCCATGGACAGGCAATGCACAGCTCTGGGGAGCTGCCCCAATGCCCCAGTGAGGAGAGCGCTGGCAAGGATTCTGGATTGGTGACGTTTGGTGGGGATTAATCTCTCCCCCCACGCCTGGTTAACACTTCTGCATGCACTCCTCCTCCCAAGCCCTGTCCTCCACCAGGTCACTGGCAGAGGGCCTGCAAAGGTACAGAATAAAAAGAGCAAGTGGTTGTGGTCTCCATGGTTGCATGTCAACACCCATTTACAGGAAAAAAAGGCAGGGTGCCCTAGAAGCGCTGTGAGAGTTCCCCGCCTGGCTGGCCTACTTTCTGAGCACAAGCCAGGAAAGCTAAACCCATGTGAGCGAGGAAGTGCTGAAATCAGATTTCCGCCACAGCCTGTGGCTCCGGCTACTTCAAAATCCGGGGTCGGAGAGTGCAGCCACGTGCCGTTCTCGTGGCACGCAAGGTGGCTGGCAGGCGGCAGGCTCACCGAGTGCCACAGCACAGCACCGGCCCCATCCTCAGAGGGTAGCTCTCACTGATTTCAGAGCCTGGCCATCTCAGCAGGGACAAGGGGACCTGGATCCCCTAAGCAGCTTTGTTTTGTTTTGTTTTGTTTTTTTAAAGTGCAGCTTTGCTGACCCCCAGACTCAGCCGTCTCCTCTACTCCGCTGTCTCCATGTAGCTGCGGGCAAGTCACCTCAGTGCAAGACAGGCCACGTGATATCTCCTGCCTCTCTCTCTTCTTGGTTTTTACGAGCTCTTCAGGGTACGAACTCTCTCCTGACTTGAGTGCAGTGTGCTGGAGCAAGAGGGCCCTGGTCCTGGCAGATCTCCAATACCCATCTGAACTCAACTATGTGACTGGGAGAGGCAACCTGCTTCTGGTAAGACCCCAGCAGCCAAGTCCTGGGTTGCAAGCACCAGGGCTTTAACACGGACCCTGTGGCTGAGGGTCAGGCAATGAGGCACCACAGCAGTGTGTGGCCCTCAGGACCGTGGCAGACTCCAGACCAGTGCAGCCAGGACGTCTCTAGCCTAGACACTGCCGTGACCAGCTTCCTATCACCCAGACCTTCCTTCCTGCCCCGCCACACGTGCAAGCTGCTCGGGCCCGCTCTGCCTGCAGGCACCCGGGATTTCAGCTGGGTTCTCAGAAGCACCTGCCCACACAGCGAACTCATACGCAGCTTGCATAACCACCGAGCTGCAGCCTGCCCTTCACAAATGCCGCGCTGCTCCTCGCTCCCTCCGCCCCCCCCCCACCAACCCTGGCCTCTCCCAGAGGAGAGGTTTTGGCAAGGAAGCTGCATTCAATCACAGCTGCGGTTGGGATGTGGTTTCGATACTTTCCCCTTCATTCCTCCCTCCTCCCCATATTAAAGCAGCCGTCTGAGCGTGCCAGGTTGGCTCAGCTGCTGCTGTAAGAAAAACTGTGCTCTTTACCCTGCCTGTCACGGTTTCTGCGGCTGCCTGCTGACCACGAAACCCACCCCTGACCATCGCTGCGACCGAACAAATGGGTTGGCACCATGCACGGCAGCAAGGCTGGGACTCCCGAAGCTCCGCGTCTGCTTTGAACGGGGAAAGCAGTGGTGGTTGGGACAGCCTGCCTGCTACCAGAGCACAGCTGGGTTTGCAAAGTGGCTCAGAACCCAGCAGTGCGGTCACAGAGTAATTTGGATACCTGGTTTTTAATTGCGACTGCCACATCCCTCTAGAGAGCTCACATGGGCTAGTTCCCTCCTCCCTACTACTCTCCATCCCTCGTTAAGAACTTCCCTGACAACAACGACTCAAGATCCCCCTCTCCACACACTACAGCTACCCTCAAGGCCACAAATTTTGCATTATAACCAGTCCTATTTCAATCCAAGGGGCACAGAGGATCAGACAGGTGCCAGTGCGGGTTCTGACCTCTGTGTAGGAAGAAAGTAAAAATCCTGGTGTTGCTGAGGCCCGAAGAAGTGAAACACCTTGTATGGCACAGTATCATAGAAAATGAGGGTGTGAAGGGACCTCAGGAAGGCACATCTAGTCCGACCCCCTGCTCCAAGCAGGACCAGCCCCAACTACATCATCCCAGCCAAGGCTTTGTCTGGCCAGGTCTTGAAAACCTCCAAGGATGGGAGTCCAGCACCCCTCTGGAGAGCCTGTTTCAGTGTTTTACTACCCCGCTAGTGAGAAGGTTTCTCCCAATATCCGACCTAAACTTCCCTTGCTGCAACTTGAGCCCATTGCCCCTTGTTCTGTCGTCTGTCACCACTGAGAACGGTCCAAGCTTCATCCTCTTTGCAACAGCCCTGCAGGGAGTTGAAGGCTGCTATCATATCCTCCCTCAGTCTTCTCTTCTCCAGGCTAAATAAGCCCAGTTCCCTCAGCCTCTCCTCACAAGTCATGTCCCCCAGCCCCCGCACCATTTTTATTGCCCTACCCTGGACTCAATCCAATTTGTCCACATCCTTTCTGTAGTGGGGGGCCCAAAACTGAGCACAGCACTCCAGATGTAGCCGTGCCAGTGCCACATAGAAAGGAAGAATCACTTCCCCTCAATCTGCCAGCGATGCTCCTACTAACGCAGCCCAGGCCATTAGCCTTCTTGGCAACAAGGGCACACTGTTGGCACATGCCCAGCTTATTGCCCACTGTAACCCACAGGTCCTTTTCTGCAGAGCTGCTGCCCAGCCAGTCAGCCCCCAGTCTGCACCAGTGCATGGGGTTGTTCCCTCCTAAGTGCAGGATTTTGCACTTCTTGTTGAACCTCATGAGATTTTTTTTGGTGCAATCCTGCAATTTGTCTAGGTCTCTCTGAATCCTAACCTTCCAGCATATCTACTACTCCCGCAAGATTGGCGTCATCTGCAAACTTGCTGAGGGTGCACTCCATCCCATCCTCCAAGTCACTGAAAAAAATACTGAACAAAACTGGCCCCAGAACCAACCCCACAGGCACTCCACTTGACGACTAGACTGCCAACCAGACATCAAGCCAGTGATTACTAGCCTCGGAGCCCAAATATCCAGCCAGTTTTCTATCCACTTCATGGATAGACATCATGGGGAACATGTCAGATGCAGGCAGTCTTGTCTCAGCCTCTCCAACTAGCATGCCTGGCTGCTTTCAAAATGGGTGAATCCTTGTGATGGGAAAATCCAAGGCAAAACTGGCAAATTAGGGAGACCGTCTTTTCAAAGGACATGTGGCCCCTCCCATCTCCTCCCTTTGCCCTGGCAATCTTTAGTAACTAGTCACTCACTATTTAAAATGCCCCTATTATGCGACATGGGGAGAATGACCAGTGTCTTCTTCTAATTGCACCTACATTTTCCACTGGTTGCAGAGGTCTCTGGAGCATAAACCTTGCCCTGAGCCCATGGAGGAGATCAAAGAGAAGGAGATACTTGGAGATAACCCATTCTTGACCCTGCACTTACCACTCCATGACTATGAGCAGACACTTTCTTCCCTGGTAGAGGTTTTCATAGACGTCTATGATCTTTACAATATGGGCGCACTGAGAGGCCCTCCAGTGGAGTTCAACTTCTCGGCGGGCTTTAGGGCAGTCCTGCAGCATCTAACAGGAAGATGAAATAAATACGTAAATCTCTCGGCCACATTTTGCAGGATGAACAGAATCCCAGCTGTCATCACAAGAAGGAAACTCCCAGTGCTCGAAGCATACAAGGTTTCTGGGAGAAAAGCACGTTATTCTCCCAGTGCTCTGAGGTTGAAACAGTCGAGCTGTTGCCATGCCAGTATGACACACTAATAAAGCTTTTCCAGGCTCCCACACAGAGAATAGAGGCAGACACACAACTGGGGGCATAAAAGGGACAAACTACAACAGAGGCTGATGTATATGCATCCATTCCTGGTATGGTATTCAGTACAAGGACGCCTGCACCAGACAAATTATCATCTTGGCCAACACAACACCACCACCACCATCTAGTGGCGAAGAATGCCACGCCGACTAGTTTCTTTCTGGCCAAGGCAAACCAAACGGCACCTCTTCTAAGAGTCCCGGTCCTGATAACGGGATGAATTTCTACTTGACTGTAATTTGGGAAATACATATCTAGGCAAGTACCGCATAGACCCAGGACACCTATAACAGCAACACTGATGCAGAGCGAGGGGCCTCTGCCCAGGTAACTGGATCAGCCCAGGGACCAAGCAGACAGCGCCACAAGGACAAATGCAAGGTGCCGCACCATGGAAGAAGGAATCGCCAGCACACTCGCAGGCTAGGCGAGGACCCTCTCAGCAGCACAGCAGCGGAAAGGGATCTCCGAGTCACTGTTAACTCCAGATGAACATGAGTCGTCGGTGTGGTGAAGCGATCAGTAAAGCTAACCGCACTTCATCATACATTAGCAGGTGATGATGAACAGGTCCAGGGAGGTGATGCTTCCCCTTCATGCGGCACTGGTCAGGCCGCAGCTGGAGTACTGCATCCAGTTTTGGGTGCCACGCTTCAAGAGGGATGTGGGCAACCTCGAGAGGGTTCAGAGGAGCCCACTCGTATGGTCAGGGGCCTACGAGGAGAGATTGAGGACCCTGCATCTCTTCAGCCTCCACAAGAGAAGGCCGAGAGGTGAATTTGTAGGTGGCCACAAGATCATTAGGGGGGACAGTAAAGAATAGGAGATGCTCTATTTACCAGGGCACCCCTTGGAGTAACTAGGAACAACGGCCACAAACTGACAGAGACCGTATTTAGGTTAGACATCAGGAAGAACTTCTTCACGGTAAGGGTGGCCAAAATTTGGGATGGGCTTCCAACGGAGGTGGTGTCTCCCCTACCTTGTGGGTCTTTAAAAGGAGGCTGAATATGCATCTGGCTGGGGTCATCTGGCCCCAGCGCTCTTTCTTGCCCACGGCAGGGGGTCAGACTCCATGATCTGCTAAGGCCCCTTCCGACCCAAACATCTATGAATCTATAAAACTCTCCAGGAAAAGCCACACTTTGCAAAAGACGATTTAGCTGTGTTTGTAACAGGACCTGTTCCTACCCAACAATGAAAGGTGCCAATGCCCCCCTGGCACAGTCTACTTCCTCCCTGAAAGCTCAGCCTGAAAGTCAAAAATACCCTGTGGTGGTATGGGGTGGCAGGGGGAAGCAATTGTGCCCTTTGAATCACTCGTGAGCATCAAACAGAAAAGCACAAGTGGACTAGCACCATGGAGGGGACGATGCTTCCACTACAAGGAATTTAGGGGTTGAAGACAACCAAAGGCCCCCTCTCGTCTGACTGCACATCAGGGTCCGCCCACCTCTGGCAGAAGGATGCTGATGGTCCACACAACCAGTGCAGGGGAGGGCAGCGGGTGCAGCAGGTAAGCAGAGGAAGCTGCCTTGCTAGTGCCCCAGCCTGGCTTGTGTTGTAACAACAGCCCATACTCTGCTCCCGCTAGAAGCAAACTTTAGGGGCAGCCACAGCTACAATCCTAGGAAGTCATTTGCATCCAGGTCAACACCTGGAACACAAATAGTGAGCAAGGTCTTCACAAATGCAGGCGCGAAGGGTGTTGGGAAACCACGCCTTGCAGACAGAGACAGCATCCGCTGAGCATGTGTGCGCAAAAACACCGGCAGTCACCGCATTCGTGGGGACGCAGTGCCATCTGGCGGCAAGAAGCGGGTGCCTACAACCCTTGCAAAACTCCCGACCCTGCAGCTCTGCATTATTCAGCTGAAGAAACCGTTACAAATTTGCGCAACATCCTGTTTGTTAATGAACCTTTGGCGCATATGAGACATCTTTTGCCTGAAGACTAAGGACCCACATTCAGTAGCAAGTTGAAGCCTCCTTTGAGGCCAGTTGTTATCATCACCCACAATTTAGCAATGGGGAAGAAGAACCATGGACAAAGGAAGTGAGTTGCCCAAGGTCACCCTGTGGGGTTAGTAGCAGGGATGGGATGAGGACAAGTTTGCATTTCTGACCCCATGCCACAGGCTTACGTGCTGGGCTTATTCAGGTGGCTAGTTCCTGCATGGACCAGTGCTACGGACAAATCACCAGAACAAATCAGCACCACTGAACGCCTGAAAGCACGCGTGGAGGGAAGCGTCCCTAACAAACCACTCCGCAGTTCAGCGTTGGCGTAAGCCATTCAGGCCCTCTTCCATAATCACTTCAATTTACCCGATCATCGCTCTTGGTAAAATGGCTCCCTGGAGCATGTGAACTCCCTCCCCCAGCCAATTACTGCTATCAGAGCTATAGCTGCTGAAGGGCAATGACAGGCGTCTCCCTTGGTGCAGGACACAGCCTGGTCCAGGGGAGCTGCTCTTTTAGCATGGCTGGAACTGCATGCCTTGCACTGACACCAAAGGCAAAACTCCCCATCATGCAGGGGCCTGAATTTTCAGCCACCAAAATGATCAAATTGATGCCACTGCCAAGCAGTGCGATACCTCCAGCTGGGTGCACACAGCAAAAGTCTTGGGGGAATGGATATTTACTGATTTTTTTTTTTTTTTCCAGAAGGCATGAACATTTCAATGAATATTTTCAATCCTTTAAAAATTTAAAGCTACTCCAGGGCTTGGCAAAAAGCAAGGCATCAGTGAAAACTTGTGACTTCAGGGGGCCCTTTAAATCAAATATTAATTTTAGCAGCAAGGTAATTATGTAGGCTATTTGAATCAAAGCAGGTCTCTAAACCAAGTTCTCTGCTTTTAAGCTCTAGCTGCTTATTTCAGTGCTGGAAACTCAGTGGTGCTGCCGGCTCCTGAACTTAGAAGGACACGATCCACTTAACTACAGCGGGGTGGTTGGTTTTATTTTTTACAAAACAAGTGTTACACCTACCGTCACCCTGACACAGGGGGGTCTTTCTAGATCCTCACATCCAGGCCATCTCACTTTTGTGGGTTGTTTCTGCAGAAGATCTAAGAGACACCCTTCCTATTCACCCGCTCGTCTCGGCCTGGCAGGGAGGCAGCTGCCCAGGATCTCGCCACTTTGCAGTTATCACAGCATCCTTTCCGTGGCCTCACGCAATCTTGCTGCACTCTGATCTCCCCAGAGGGTTGCTACAAGACCATCGTCCCAGCCTGTTCCTTTGACCATGTCTCCCTTCTCCCTGGGCATTCCTCTGCTGCCTTGCCCTTCTCGGCCACATCACATACAAGCTGCTTGTCTTCGCTTTCAAGGCCTGTCATAGTTTATCCATCCCTCCTTCCCTTCTGAGAGATCGGCGCTGAGCCCAAAATCCTGGCCTCCAACCATGCATTCGACCTCCAAACAAGCATTTTCACGCATGCTGCCCTCTACACTGTACCGAGCTTCCCACGCACATTTGCCAAGCTACCCCATTCTTCTCCTGGCTCACGTGCCGGCCAGCTGAGCCCACTGTCCAGCACGCCGGCCAATGCCATCTCTTTGTTTCCTTTCATTTCTCCGTCCAGCTGTATCAATCCACTCTCTCTTGAACAATACTTCAATGGCAGAGTCTCTGGAGGAAGGACCAGCTCCTTTTGCTCTGCTTGTCCAGCTTCTAGTACAAATGGGGTCTACAGCCCGTGACTGGGGCTCCTGGGGACTCTAGCAATACACATAAATAACTCTCATTATTCAAGGAGGGCACACTGCCCCAACCGACCTAGAGTATTAACCAACAGCCCACTACCATCGGACGGGTAAACAGAAGGTATCCTGGTCCGAGGGCTAGGGACACGGGATAGGTTTCAGGTATCTTGTCTGCTGTGAAAGATGCTTCTGCTCCCCGGGCCTCAGTTTTCTCACCTGTAAAACTATCCTGTACAGTGCTTGAAGAGTAACGGAGAGCAGGCACTGCGCCCCATCCACCTGCAAGGGCAAAGGCCTGGAGAGAAATGCTGCACAGGAATATTAAAGTAAAACAACATATGGCTAGGGAGAGGGGGAAGAAATCAATTTTTTAATTGGGTGTTAATTGCAACGGGCAGGAGGATGCCAGAGGGCCCATTTAACCAACCTATGCCCCTTTAAACGGCACTAGGCGGGGCATGAAAGATGAAGTGAAAGAGCCCGGTGTATCCCAGCTGGATGCGATGGAAGTGTCAAACATATAAATAACTGTGGACAGGCCCGTACGCAGCCCGAGCTCCCACCTGGCCGTGACACAGAAAACCATTAGCAGCATTTCCTCCAGAAGCTCCCCCCGTAAAACCACATGGGACAGGAGGGTCCAGAGTACACAAACAGGCCGTTCTCCAAACAGCCGGTTCCTCTGCTTCTCCAGAAGGAATCAAGGGCCCTTCACGGAGCCTGCCCTTGGCTCTCGGGTACAGGAATGATCTGCTCCGCTGCCAAAGTCTATTAAATACCACGTTCGTCAGGATAAACAAACAGCCTTAATTACATGCAGCAGCCTCCTAAATATAGAGCAGCAAATGCATCTGACTTGAGCTCGCGGTCTCCCTCCTGGCCTGCGCCGTCGCAGTACGCCTGCTGCTGAGAGACTGGATGCGTGTCCCCGAGCGCCCACTGCTACGTTCTGCTTGGGGCTTGAGCTTTGCTTTGCTAAAAGGCCAATTTAGCACCCAAGCGGGGCCATTTGCGTTCAACAGCATCTGCAAAA